GGAGATCTAAATAAAATTACTAATTAGCAGGTCCTTAAACACATCTTAGGAGTCAGTCTATGCCATGGTGTTATGTTTTAAGATATCACTAATACAAATATTGAAAAGTACTTTCAAAATGCAATTTTGAAGAGTCTCTCAATATACAAAACTATGTAGCTTTAAAATATCAGTTTATGTAATTTACAGCACAACCGAATGCACTATCGAATAGCTGTGTTTTAATAAAATGTTACCATATGTTATTAAAACAGTCTCAAAATCAATCCAATTGTTGCAGACCTCCATGACGATAAATTATTATGCTACTTTAAATCACTATGGCAACAGATTAGCAATCTGAAATATCTCTAATTAGATATTAGAGATTAGAGATCTCTGATTAGAGATTCATGAAAGAGATCTCTGAAATTAGTTTCCTATTTTGTCTATAGGTATCTAATAAATATTCCAATTCCTTCTATATAATTATTACACACTGTACTAGAAAAGAAGCTATATTGTTGCTGCACAGTGGAACTGATACTCAAGGAAAAAGTTGCTTTTAAGATACAATAGCAGCTAGCTTTTCCTCCAAGAACAATTTCTACTACAGTTCTAAAACTAAGATCTATAAACCATATTTGTTACCAATTGTCTTTCCAATAGTGGCATAAAAGGCTATTTCTCAATAAAATCCTCTGTCAATTTCAACAAAGTCAAGAACTACAGGCATGTCAATATCCACCACCATCCCATGTTCCCGAAGCCTTGTTCACCATCACCAGATGCAGCTTTGCAAAAACTCATGGCCTTCAAGGCAGGATGAGATATCTGCTAGAATTCAATGACTTTAATGGGTCAGGTTCAGTCAGACATGATGAAAGGCAGAAGAAAATCAGTGAAATCTGGTACAGGTAGAGTCAAAGCTGAGCAGCAGAAAAGGTAACAGGGAAATCTACAGAGACAGTAGATTAAGCAGTTGCTCAGGGCTGGGGGCAGGGATAAGGATGAAGGGATGGGGGTGACAGCTAAATGGTACAGGGTTTCTTTTTGAGGTGATGAAAACATCCTAAAATTGACTGTGTTAATGGTTGCATATACTGGTGAATATACTAACAACTATTGAACTGTACTCTAAATAGGCAAATTGTATGGTATGTCATTTATATCTTAAAACTGTTTACACAAAAAGAGATAGGGTGGAGGGAGATGTCAGGGAAGAGGTGAACCAACAAGTTCCAAGCAGGAAAGAGCATGAGACTCTCAGACTCAAGAGCAATCCAAGATGAGGCTTTCCAGGGGTTCACATAACCAATGCATGCAAAACAAAGATGCAAATGTGAGAAACGAAGATACACATTGTGTGGACATTCTGATGCTTTATGACAGCAGTTCTCAACCCAGCTGCATATTAGATCACCTGTTTACAGGGTGAGTCACTTTTTGACCATTTATTGCTCTGTTCCAGAAACCAGTTCATTCTCTAAAGCAACATAATCATTCTTATAGTGTGGCCTTGGACCAGCAACTTCAGCATCACCTGGAAACTTGTAAGAACTGCAAATTATCTATACACCCCCTCATTCTACCAGACACTCAAAAAGAGTGGCCCAGTAAGCTCTGTTTTAAGCCTTCTAAAGTGATTTGGATGCACACATACCTCATGCAGGGTTAAAAAACAAAACAAAGCAATAGCAAAAACAACAACAACAAAAAAATCCACCAAAGGCAGGCTGAACATTCTGACCCAAACCCTTTGACGTAATCGTAGTGTACCATTCTAGTTTTTTTCCACAGGCCTGAGTTGGCTATTACTAAACAATTCTTTTTCTTACCTTGTGTTTTAACCTTTGTTAAGGGAAACAAGAGCTGACTTTTAGCTACATTATTCATATACCTGAAAAGGTACTGAAACAGATGTTTCAGATATTTAAGGTTTTAACAGGAAAGTACAGTATTCCAATTTGAAAACCAAGGTGTCTTTTTTCCCCCAATAGCAAAGTTATTAGAAATCTGAAGTTCTCTAACAGATTTAGGATTTGAATTCTACGGCCTACAGAGATTGGATGGGACTTTCCAGAATGCACTAAATTAAGAGCAGAGAGAGCAGCTGGAGTACCAAAAAGAATGTCAATTTATATTCCTGGGCATGATTTAGGGGCACCCTCTTGTCTGCTCAATAGAACCTCATACACAGCAACACGCTATTTGAAAATTAATAAACTAGTACAAAGTAGATTAATTAAAACCAATATACAGAAATAACAAAATGAATGAAAGTTAAAGCAATATATAAGTACAATTTTCAGATCTGGACCTAAGCAGAAACAACTAGTACTTTAAATAAATTAGTCCCATTGTCAGTATAGAGTTTCTCTTTCCTTCTTCATACAAATCTGCATTTAATAAAAGCAGAATATTAAAATAATAAGAAAACAAGTCTTTAATGGGATTCTATTAATGTGAATTTTAAGGAGTATGAGGAGCAATCTGGACTAGTGAAATTTAAGCAGCTCCTCAGGTCTTTTGGAAACATTCATTCAGTCAGTCAATCATTCACTAATTTCACAAATATTAAAGAATATCTGTGCAGTGAATGCTCATTGTTTTTAACTAAGCATGCAATTTCTCTCCCTGATGTTACCTGTGTTTATGTTTGGGTGTTACTTTGTCCCTATTGATTACATGCAATGCAGTAAGATTATAATCAAGGACCCTGCAATCCCCTGGCCATGGAGTGGGAATAAGACCCAAGCCAGGTCAACAGGATCTTCCCTTCCTGAAATTTAAGTCTGGGGCAGAGACATAATGAGACTGATGTAGTTCATTCATTCTAAGGGTAGTATTCTCACCAGATTATTACTGTCTAGGACTTTTTCTATAGTTATTTTCCAAGGTTTGGGGGAGGGAGAAACGAGGAGCTTTAGTCAAAGGGTACAAAGTTTCAGTTATGTAAGATGAATAAATCCTAGAGATCTACTGTACAGTATAGTGCCTATAACTGATACTATTGTATTGTAAACTTAAAAATTTTCTAAGAGAGTAGACTTAGGTTAAGCACTCTTATTACAAAAAAAAAAAAAATAGTAACAGACAGTAAGGAAACTTTTAGAGCTAATGAATATGTTCATGACACAGATTATGGTGATATTTTCACAGATGTAAAATTATTTCCAAACTCATCAAGTTGTATACGTTATATATGTATAGTCTTTCATATGTTAGTTATACCTCAATAAAGTAATTTTTTTTAAAAAAAAAGACTCATGCAAGGTCTAAAAGATGAGACTAGATGCTCCCTAAAACCTCTTCAATTCTGAGTTTTCTATGATTAAAATGAATATTGTCAGCTAGAATTATGGCATCAGGAAGGAAAAAAAAAGACTCATGCAAGGTCTAAAAGATGAGACTAGATGCTCCCTAAAACCTCTCCAATTCTGAGTTTTCTATGATTAAAATGAATATTGTCAGCTAGAATTATGGCATCAGGAAGGAAACCTGGCCTGATAAAACAAAAGCTAACTGAGCAAGCTAACTTGGAGAAATGTATCCTCTCCGACCTACTTAATACCTCTATTCCCTTAGTTTCTCATATCTGAATCCCCTCCTAGCACTTAGTACAGGCATTTTAGATTTCAGACTCCCCACCCATGCCTTGTGCTGATACTTACTATTCTACTCACCTCTGGATCCCAGAATTGACTTAAAACACACCCAAAACCTCCCATAGTATTTAGGTTGAACCACATAAAATTGTCAATATATGATCATTTTTAACATACAAAAATCACGATTTTTGTATACATCAATCTAGTAATAGTCACTATTTAAATATTATTTTCTGTTACCTAGACATTCACAAAATAAAAAAACTGTCAAATAAAAGTATCCTATTCTAAAATATTTCCAAAACACATGAACTGTATACATATATAAAACATATAAAGCATATAAACACATAGTGTGCAACTGGAGAGCAACTTTTAAAAGTAACCTGCCTTAATTTTCAAATTCTAATCAGCATATTAACTGTACTTAATAATAATCCTCTATACTCAATAATATTGCCCAGTAGGTGATTAGGAATAAATACCAAGAATTCTCAGAGTCTACTGATGGCACTACAAAATTTGACTACAAAAATCAAATTTGATGGTAACTGGTTAACTTTCATCACCATATGTAACAATAATTTCACCAGCTTCAAATTAAGATATCTGAAACTTGCAAAGGTTAGTTCATTAAGTACAACGTAGAAGACTCATACCAGTTTCTTTCTGTGTTAGAATGGAACTGATGTTGATCTTTCGAGGAGGTAGACAGCAAGGTCAGACTTAGATGATACAAAGAAACTGTATTTGGTGACAAGGTCATTCAATCCTATTTTCACATATTTCAGCTTTCTTTGGGAGCAATTGAATCTTTGTCCAGCCTCTCACTGTGCACCAATCCAATGAAATTTGAATCCTAAAATCAGTGTTCCCTAGGAAACATGAAAAACTGGCATAGTGAGGACACCAAGATCAAATTGCTCAGGAGAGCGTGTTTCTTTGGAGTTGTCCTACTTGTCATTCCTCAGGTGGATAGAACAAAAATTGATTTCTCTATGAGATAAATCAAAATTTCCCAAGTTGATAAATCAAAAATTTTTGCTTTCTTAAAAAATATGGAGAGAAACTATTTAACTATTATAGATAATCTTTATAAAATAGCAAAAATTTTTGATTTAACAACCTGAGAAAGATTGTTTTAAGGAGGAATATAGCGGGCTATTGATAAGTAGAATATCATATCTTGCTAACAAGTCAGATGTCACTATTTTGTAATACTGAATCAATATGAGTTTCACTTTGGCCTAGACTAATGTCATGAACGGGGCCATAAGTATTGGTTGGTTTTCAAACATGCAAATCCACAGAATCTATAATATATTCTTTGCTAAGAGAATTAAACCAAATTTATCTTCTGTCAAAGAAATCCCATTCTCTGAGGTAAGTAAACAGCAAAGGCAGACTCACAGTTCATGATGTCACCCTGAAGCTGTAGAATCTGAGGAACTGGCATCGTGAGGACAATAAGATCAAACTGTTCAGGGGAGCCTGTTTCTTTGGAGACTTCCCACTTGTCATTTCTCAGGTTGATCTGGGTCACACAATGTCTGAAGAAGACTTCTGCACCTGCTCCAAAATCATAATCATGTTGACATTATTAGGATTTTCTATATGAATGAAGGGGATGCGAATAGTCACAAACTGCATCCGTTCAGGTGAACAAAATGGTCAAACTTGTCTTCTACAGTCACGAGAGAGTTCTCTTTCTTTGCTTTCTTTCTAATTTAGTGGAGATTCCTCCTCCTCTGCCACCCTTGAACCTCCCTATCAATAACTTCTTTGGAGAAAAAAATACTACTACAATTAATAACAATAATAAGAATAATAACAGCAGCTACCTTTCATTAAGCAACTACTATACACCAAGCACTTGATACACATTATACCAGTTTATTTCACAGATAAGGAAACAGACTGAGAAATGTCATGCCATGATTTAAAATTACATCCATCTGACTATAAAGCTCATCATCTTTGCAGAACAAGTGTACATTTCAGTAAAGGTATTAGCAATTAATTTTAGCAACAGCGAGAAGAGCAACATTCCCTATTAAAGGAATTAATATTCCCTGAAAAGGTCTCTGTAAGTCCTCATTAGAAGATCAATTACTTTCATTAAGAAAAATCAGAATCAAAAGAAATATAATCTAAAATACCCTTCCATCACATGTTCCCCCTTAGCATTTATCACAAGGGTATTTTAATAATTATGTGCCTAATTATTTACTTAATTTTGTCTTTCGTTTTAATCTGTAAACTCCATGAGGCATGAACTATGCCTCTTTTGTTTCTTGTATAGCATACAGCATATATAGCACACTACTTGGCACACACTAGATATGTAATAAGTATTTGTTTAAAAGAATGAATTATGGACAATAAACTCAAAGATAAAGTACAGTTGGGTCAGTAAGTATTCTTTGTACACTTGTACTCACCACACATTTAAAACTCACTTAAAAACAAATCCACTTTTATTCAGCCTCATGTATAGAAAGAAAGAAATGAAGATGGAATGAAGGAAAAAAAGCACACCGAAAGATCCTGTTCATCATTACCTGTGATATCTCATGTTCCTAGTCACTAAAAATCCAGCTTACGTCTTACCGCATCCACGAAGCTTCCTTTCTGTAGCCATTCAGCTCAATGCGATCCTCCCTGTCTATGATGTTCTTCAATCCTCACTGCCTTTACCACTCATTCTGACATTAATTCAAAATATCTGCATGCTTTAGTAAATTTTATCTATCCAATAATACTCTTAGCTCCTCCATGTCAGGTCTCCACATCTCATATATCTTTACCTCTTTCACTGTCCCTTGAATAATGCTACACCTTAGTAAGCACTCAAAATTTTTTAAATCAAATGCAAATGTTAGAAGGAACATAGTGCTAACTAGGCCAAGGAGTCAATCTCAGTTTGAGGCAGTGAGTATCATTCTGTTCAAAGATGAGAGCAAGGACTAGTAAACAGTGCTCCAACTTGCCTGAGGGCTTTTCTAAGATCCCTGCTTGGGGAAGTTGCAAATAATTGGCATTTTCTTTTTTTTTTTTCAAATAATTGGCATTTTCAACTTACATCCACACCTACCATCTCCTTTACTCCAACCAGAGCAGTTCTGCTTCAGTCTGTTTCATTTATTTAGGATATCTCACCCCACTTGCCTTACTCAGTACATAGCCCTGTCCCAGACCTTAACTCAATTGATTCTATGTTTTATTTGTTTATGTTTTCACATAATATTCCTTTGAAAATAGCTTTATGTTGTTATTGTTGGTGGTACATATGTATGTTTAAGGGGTTTGAAGTCCATTGGCCTAGAAAATTTTCCAAGCCCCAGCTGAGAGTCTTGGAAATGCAACCTAATGGCTGCAAGGTATTCTTCAAGGTGCGGTTCTCTAAGCCTCAGCCCCAGACAAAGAGCACCAGGAGTACCTAGAAACTAGAAATGCACATTGTAAGGCCCCATCCCAACCATACTGCATCAAAAACTCTGGGGATTTGGCCCAGCAATCTGTGTTTAACAAGCTCCCTAGACTTGTTACAATGCACACTAAAGTGTGAGAACCACTGGGGTAGGTAGAAAAACTCAAATCTAATACCACAATTGACAAAACCACCAAAAAAGTATTTACCAAGAAGTAGGGGAAATGATACAGTTTATTAACAAGGAAGTTTTCCTTTCCAACTGCTAGGAGTGAAGTTTCTGGGAAAGTGGCATTTCCTTGTGAAAGTAATTAATAACTTTCATAAACACCACATGGTAAAATTTATAGGCTCCAGAAACCATCATTTAAAAACAGAGAACTACATTAATTCTCGAGTCACTTCTGAGCTTAGTAAATATGACCGTGTCCCTCTCCTGCATAAAACCCTTCAGTGGCTTCCCAGTGCACTTAAGATAAAGTATAAAATTTGTAACATTGCTCGCAATGCCTCTTATGATTGGTCTTGCCTTAGTTTTGAGCTTTACCTCTTAGAACTTTTGCCCTCATTCACTACACTCCAGTCACAACGATCTTTTAATGTCTCGATTGTACTAACCTCCTCCTACTTCAGGACAGCTCCAGTTTGATGTGCCCACTGGAACTCTCACCACTCTCTCAGCCTAGTTTACTCTTACTCACCTTTCAAGAACCCATGAAAACATCAATTCCTCAAGGACTGCTCTAAAACTCACCACGCTGGCTCGGGTACTTTTATTATAAGCTCTCTCATAATGCTCTAATTCTTTCTTCTTAGCACTTACTATGCACCTTTTTTTTTTTTCTTGTATGTATAATTAGTTTAATGACTTTCTCCCCACACCCAAACTCCACTCTACATTAACAGAGGCAAGGACCATGTCTCTTATTTACACTGTTTCCCCAGCATAGATTTAATGAGAATATAAAAATCTGCAGATAACTATAAAGATATCAGAAGACTAAGAAGATTCAAACATTTTACAAAGGAAAATGTGCTCCTCTTAGATATTTGTTCAGTTTTATCCGTGGTCTTCCTCCATTTTAGGGAGAAAATCTAAGTTTATTTTTCTCCTATAATTTCCCACAAATAGGTTTTAGTGAGCAGCAGTCAGACATGCTGAGTTGGGACCCGAAGAGATGTGAACAATGTCTGACTAAATGCACTGCTTAAAGTAAACAGAAGAATGCTTAAGCAGAGTTTGAATGCAGTTCTCTAGGTTCTCTTGAAAGGACACTGTTACGGTGCATGCCATAATCACCCGCCTGGGAGTAATTTTAAGACAGAACTACTCAGGCTCATTTCCTCTACATCAATTTAGAAAGAAAATAAACGCAACAGTGAAAGGGAGAGAATGAAAAAAGTATGTATCAGCAAACAGAAGCCATCCTAGCTGATGGCATCTGCAACTTAAACCATCTTTTCCAATAAATTAATACTGTCAACTTTGAGAATTTATGTTGCAAGTGTTGACTTTCCAGATTAATAGTCATTTTTTTCTTTTAAGGTAGATTATAAAATAAAGCCAAATAAATGCAGCAATGATCCTCCCTATTGGCAGGCCAAGCCAAATAAAAACTTCTACCCTATGTCCTGGAGGCTAAATTCATCTTCATATGAATGATTTAATAACATGAGGCCTTATTCAAAAGCAAAAGGACTTCCAGTACCAGCCAGCGAAAAAAATAAATAAAATAAAATAAAAGCTAAAGGACTTGACCTATCACTCTCTAACTGTCATAGGCAGGAATCATCAGGTGATTGATTTCCCAGGTTGCATAAAGAAGAAAGATGGCATTGCTCTTTGATAGCCCCTTCCCACCTGATCAGGGAATTTTCCAGAAAGTTAATATGATGGTATGCATATCTGTATACCATATAATACTGGACAGCCAATAAGGAAAATGAAGTACATTGCATTTGCTGGTGTGAAAATAGGCCTAAGATATGAAGCAAAGTGCAGAATAGTTTGTCTAAAATAATCCCCTTTGTGTATATTTTTAAAAAGAAAAAGTATAAAAACATATTAATAGATAAATAGAGACAGCCATGTAGCTCAATAGATAGATGAATAAACATTTTTTTGGAAGCATACACTGGAAACTGTTATCAATGATTATTCTGAAGGAAGAGAGACTAGCTATTGAGTGGTGAATAGGAAAACATGTACTTTTTATAACTTTCTGTATAGTATTAATATTTAATTACATGTATAACTTTTATTTTAAAATAAAATCTTATTTTAAAAATCTTATTCCCACCTGATTCTTTTAAGTAATGCTTAATAATTGAAGAAATTCCTTGAGGTGCCATAAAGTTACAGTCTCCTTCTTTCATCACCATTCCTTCAATAGGAGAGGTCAGTGGCTTTAAAATGCCATGAGCTAACAGTTCTTCGTAAAAACTGAAATAAATAAATAAATAAATATATATATATATATATATATACATATATATATAAAATGTAAGTAAATACTATGATTAGCTCAAAAATACTATATTCTCTTAAGAATTTTTAGAGATTACAATTCTAAATCATAACTGGAAATCTTCATCTGATCAAGTCAATGTATATTTTGTGTTAAATAAAACTTGTAATTCAGGTGAAGAACGGAAATATTTTGAGAATCCATAAATCCTTTGTTGACATTACCAAGGCCTATTCCTCCAAATATTTCACAATTAAAGTCAATGAAAATAAACAGAAAAGTATTTAGTACATCAGTTTTAAATTTGGTTAGGAACATTGACTTTCATCGCATCTGTTTGTCCTCATCCTCAACATTAACATAATAACCAATAGTTATGGAGCCCTTACTATATTCCATATATCATCTCATCTAACCTTTACAACAACTATGAGGCAGGTACTGCAGTTTCCTGTTTTATTCCAGTTAACCTTTTACTGCTAACATCATCGACAATGATAACACAACAATTTCACTATGTTACAAGAGGCAAGGCTTAACCATTTTAAAAATGAATGATTTATATCTTTTTACATCAGACAGCTACTCAGACTGATTCTGCTCCTTGCAACTAACTCACCTCTGGTGTTTTTTGGCATAATGAGGAGTGCAAGTGATGTACTGAGCACCCAAGTCAGCTGCGCACTGTGGATTATGAGGACTGCTGACGGTAATCATTCTTCCACCTTGAATTAATCCACAGGAAAATGACAGTGCATTAAAATGAGCTTTTTGCAATTAATACAAATCACCTCAGGTTACCCCCAATAGATTACATTATAAATACATTAAGAAACATCCTTTTTAACTTGAAGTCTTTGTCATCTAACATTGTCATAAGGCAGTTAACAGAGACAATTTGATCACCGGTTTTGAAATTTAAAAAAAGGAAGAAAAAAAAAAGAACGGAAAAAAAATTAAAAAGAACTCAAGAATGACATAGCAGTGTCCTGCACTTTTACCAGCACGTATATTTAATAACCTGACTAAAAGGAATGAATGAGTGGATATAGAAAAAAAAAAAAAAATTGAATGGAATGTCAGAATGAATGAATCGATGGAGGCTCTTTCATTCATGCAGTCAAGTTCTATGAGAACGACAGGACTCTGTAAACTAGATCTTCGGAAATTCGTGGTCTATTAGCACTGGGACCCTCATAATCTGGAGAACGCTGCAAGGGCACAGACAGGCCGAGACAAGATCCATTTATTAGGGACAGCGGTAGGCCCAAGCTTTGCAAACTCTGGCCAGGCCCTCTCCCGCGCCGTCCGCTCAGGCCTGCCAGCAAAGTGTTCGCGGTGCCCGTGGCCCGCCCCCAGCGCATCGGGGGTCGCCGCCCCCACCCTGGCCCCGCCGGGGTCCTTCCCCGGGAGGCGGAAGCCTTCTGTCACGTGACGAGACGCACTCTGCGCATGGGCCGCTGCCAGGCCGCGCGGGGAGCTCGGGGTATGGAGTTTTCTCCTCAGACTTACTGGCGTTCGGCCCGCGCCACCTCATAAGCCGGGGCTGCGCCGGCCCCTTTTCCCAGGATTCGGCCGTTAAACAACACACCTGAATCCCCAGCCTTGTCCCACACTGCGAGCTGCAAGGGACCGGACGTCTCCTTCCTCAGCAGCGCAGCGCACAAGCTTCCTGTCAGCCCGGCGCCCACGATCAGCACGCGCGCCATGGCGGGAGGGAGCCCGGATCAGCACCGCGTCTCAGCGGTGAGGCCGGCCGGCCCGGGGTTGGTGGAACCGCCAGCGCTCTCTGGGCTGCGCGCCCCTGTCCCCGACCCGGGCCTTGGGCGGTCCCACCAGCTGGCCTGCAGGGGGCGGACAGGAGGCGACCGGAGCCGAGGCCGGCCAGCCCCGAAGACGAGCGGACCTCGGGGCTGCGGAGAACCGGGGCTCTCCCCTCGCTTTGGGCCTACAGGGCCCCAAAGTCCGGCGTCACCGGAGAAGTTCTAAACTCCCGCCCTTGCCACTCGCCCAGAAAAGCCTGGAAATGGTGTAGGTCGTGGCGTGACAGCCCGCCCCGCCACGGGCTGGTGTTGACGACCGCCGGAAGCCAGCCTCACCTGACTACCTGGGTGACTGTGCCCGCTGGGATGTTTGCTGTGTTAATATTCTAGGTTTGCAAGTGGAATATACGGGCGGTGCCGGGGCAAGCGTTCCTCTAGTGTCCAAATGGCCACTACTCACATAATGGAAAAGCATTTTGGAATGAGGGAGAAATTTTTCTTAAGTTGGTTCGAGGATTTTGTGTTGTTATGTAACCTTCCTGAAATTTCTGTGAAATGGGGACAATGATGTATCCTTTCCAAAACTGTGAAGACTGAAGATATTTGATTCACCAGAAAATTGTAATCACTTATGTCTTCGATAAATACTGAGCTCTATGTCAGAACACATCCCATAAGTTGTAAGGGATATACTCCTAAACGTGAACAAGAGGATTCGTGCCATTACCTCTGCCCCCTCCTCCAACATAGTCCTGAAAGTTAATGGAATAACGAAAAGCAATGAGAAGTCTGAACTACTAAAAGAAATACAGAATTAAGTTACACTGATATTCAAATAAGTTATTACCTGGAAAACTCTAGAAAAACAAGTAACAATAGTAGCCAGTTATATTGAAAGCATTTAAAAATCAGAGGTTTTACTTTATGTCCACATCATGAAAAAATTACAATGCATCCAATCGGTGTTGGATTAATATTATGTATATCTACTGAATTATAAAAGAACAGTAATGAAATATAGATGAACGTATATAGCCTAAGAAGACTTTCTAAGCATAAAAATAAAAGATGGAATTGAAAAGGAAACATTGAGCACATAATCATTTACAACTTTTATGTTAAAAAATTCATAATACAAAGTACAAGTAGTGAGGAAATTTTTGTGATATATATGGAAGATGAAAGTTTAATATCTTTATTATATTAAGTCTTAAAGACATAATTAAATGACAAAACCCAAAGGGAAAGTGTTCATAGATTGAATAAGATTATTAACTAGAAAGAGATACAGAAGTCCAATAAAGATATATGTTTAACTTTTTCTTTATTCAGATACAAATTAAAATGATTTTTCATTTGTGTGGAATTACATTTTTAAATGCTAAATGCTTACATTTAGCAAGGATATGGTGAAATATGCGCTGATGTATTACTGATGGAAATGTAATGAGCAAGTTCTTTGCATGATAATATATCAGAAGCCTTAAAACTATGAAGCTTGATAATATATCAGAAGCCTTAAAACTATGTCCTTTAAACCAGATTTTTATCTTGGGGAAATAATATACAGGTGTACATTAAGGTTTATGTATAAATGTATTTAACTCGGTGTTATTAGAAACATTGACGTATACCATCACTAAAGGATTGATTAGATTATGGCTATCCATACGTCTTTGTAAAGCTACTAAAACAAACATGGTCTTGAACGTACTGTATAGAATGTATGGGAAACTACTTACCACATAATGCTGAAAAATGCAGGTTACAAAACTGGTATAATCCCAGACTTTTACAGACACAGACACACAAATGTATGTGTGTGCACCTACAAATATATATGCAGTATTAGAGAAATATGAGAGGAGACAAATGTATATTTTTCTATTACTTTCAAATGTGCTATAAAGACCATGTATTTATAACCATTTGTTTATTTATTTTGTTAGATATAAACAACCAGGCTTGAAACCTCATAATCATCGTCTATAACTTCTCTTTTCTCATCCTTGATATCTATCAGTCCTCTGGTCTTTTTGACCATTTCTTCATTGTCTCTTAAATCTAATCCCATCGAATTGTACAACAGAAATGTTGTTCAGATTATACTTCCATCAGCAATGTATTAAAGTGCCTAGGAACTTTTTATTTTTCACTTTACTGTTGCCAAAGTGGACATTTAGCATTTTGGAAAGTCATTGCCAACAAATTAATTCATTACTTGAGTTCAAGCCATCATTAGTTCTTAACCTGAGTTATTACAGTAGCTTTCTGTTTTTCTACTCCCAATCTCTGTTCTGCACCCGACTAGTAGATCAGTCAATACCATTCTCAGAAAATTTCTATAGCTCTCATTTTCATACAGAAAGAAGTTCCACTACAGTAACTTGGCGTAAAAAGTATTCAGTGATATTTCCCCAACCTATGTTTATATCTCATTGTGGTATCTTCATATGTCCTGTGCTATAGCTAAACTGTACTACTTCATGTTCCCTGAGCACATCCTCAGATTTTCCACTTATCTGTGGCAGTGGGAAACATTGGCTTATGCTGTTCTCTGAATATAGAGCATACTTTTTTGACTTGTGTTTCCCCTACTTGTGAGTTGGCATTAATCCTTCACTCTCTTTTGCCTTTCTGCTTATGATCCACAGTATGCTCCTTCAAATCAGTTATCCGGAATTTGGAATCATTATGGCCATTGAGTAGAGGTGGCCTTTGTGGCTTATTTCTCATTACCTCCTAACTTCCATAATGGGTTACATCTTAGTCCAGAGCTACAACTATAGAATAATGGGCCCATGGTTGGCTACTGGCAGTAGTACATCTTTTGGGAGAGATGGAAATAACTTAGATGACGTAGAGAAAATTAGGTTTGCAAAATAGTTGGGAGAGCTCCCTGCTTTAACATTTACTCCTCCTAGTCACTTTGACCTTTTTCCTTAACTTTTTTCTATTCCTGATATTTGGAAGACTGGCTGCTTCTGGTCATTCAAGTCCAACTTAAAAGTCACCTAAAAGAGATCTTCTCCAACCACTTGACCTAAAGTAGCCACCAGTGACTTTCTATCCCATTAACCTGTTTTATTTTCTTCATATCACTTTTAGAAGTTATCTTGCTTTTTTACTTGTTTAATTATTATTTATTTATTGTCTTTTTCCCACTAGAATTTAAGCACCTGCCAGAAACATTGTCATATTTAATATAGTATCCCTGGCAACTAGATCAAAGTTAGAATTCTGAGAGACTATGACAGTTCACTAACTGTTTGCCTAGAAGGTATACAAAACTTGAGGATAATACTTAAAGCAAGATAGGCTATCTGGTAATTCAGTTGGATGATTTCAATATTAAATATCCTTTGCCAGAGAGTGCTTTTTTAATGGTATAACACGACTGTAATAAGATATACCAGTCAGCAAAGAACACCTAGTAGTGTGCTGCTCAGCTCTGTCTGTCCTCATTTAAATGTGTTACTGATAACTGAATAACCATCAGCGGCATATCTAACAGTTTGTAGATGGCATAATAGAAATTCCAAGATAAAAGGTAAATATGAAACTAAGCTATGATAAATGAATTACAGCATACAGACAAGAGAGGTGATAGTTCAACTATTTGCACTGGCTAGACCACATCTAGAATATGACGTTCACTAGTATTCAGTTCCAAATTATAAGAGGCTCATTCAGAAACTGTTTCCATTCCACAGAAAAGTGACCAGGATGGTAAGCTGACTTGAAGTTATCTTATTTGAACAGATAAAGAAGATGGAGACTTATAGCCTAGAGAAGACTTGGGGGGAATATGAAAGCTATCTTCAAATATATGAAAGACCTTAACAGAGAAAAAGAATTAGACATTTTCAGTATACTAAAATTGACTGATGAAACAAACAAGAAGTAGATTCTGGTTTTACTCAAAGAACACGTTGAAGGAATAATTTTAAGTAGATACATTTTAAAATGGCATAAATTTCCTCAGAAAGTAATTTTTCAATTGGAAAGTTTTTAAGCAAAAACTGGATGCACAGTTAATTGGGGATTTGCAAAGGGAATTGAAGCATTGGTTAGAAGCTATCCCCCAACTAGGGTACGTGTAAGTAAATGAAGATTTTCTAAATGGCCACCCATTGTTTTAAGAGAGTCAGTTCTTAGATCTTCAGCTGCCTAAGGTACTTTTTATTAATCTGTAAAAGCCTTTGGGGTCAAGCAGATTCTCCTTTTCTACCTTCCCTCTTATAAATGCTTTTTAACAACTTTACAAAAGAAAGGCATATCTCTAATCTTGTTTTGGGGCATTGCTTTAAGGCGTAGAAACTTCTGATCTTTCAAACAGAAGAATTTCAAAAATTGGAATTGGTATTGATAAAATGAATTATTACAATGACAGAATTTCAAATCCTTCTGCAGTTTAGTTGGGTTTTCAATTCTTTGCTTTCAACAAAAATAAATGAGACCCTAATAGAGTAATCAGCTGAAAATTATTAAATGTAATTTTCCATGATGAGTCATTATAAATTTTATATGTAACTCAAAAGATTTCACAGAATTGAGTGACATTGTTTTGACAAAAGTTCTATCATTTCTATCTCCTTATGTGAACAAAGTATCTCAGCAGTTATGTCTGTTAGATAAAAGGAGGAATTAATTTGATGCTGATCCAGTCTCATTCTGGCAATAAGTAATTCATTCATTAAGAGATGCACTTCTAATACAAGTTCACTTTTTATATTTATTATTTCTTAAAGTTCATAATATATGTTTTTGATTAATTACATGCTAATAATAATTGTAATGGTAACTTAATTCAGAATAATTTTTTACACCTAAATCGTTATGTTCATAGGAGGTTTAGAGAAAATATTTTGTACTAGAAAAGGATAATAAGGTTATTAATCTATTCAACATATATTTATTGAATACCCACTACATCTCAGATATTGTTCAGTGCTGGGAAAGGACACAGGAGTGAAGAAACAGACAAAAATCCCTGCCCTTGTGGAGTTTACATTCCAGCATGGGAAATAGACAAGAAAAAGTAAATATAAAAAATCAGTCAACTATTCAGTATTTTTTTCATATAAATGAATTTGTTTTTTAATTGAAACGTATTGATTGTGCATATTTATGGGGTACAGAGTTATATTCAGTACATGTGTACAATGTGTGATGGTCAAATCAGGGTACTTAGCATGTTCATCATTGCAAAAATTTACTATTTCTTTGTGATGAGCACATTTGAGCTCCTTTCTTCTATCCATTTGATAACATACAATAAGTTATTGTAAATGATAGATGCCTAGTGCTGTTGTACATAACTAGAACTTATTTTTCCTATCTAGCTTTAATTTTGTGTCCATTAATCAACCTTTTTATATTCCCTTCCTCCTCCAGCTTCCAGTAATCACAGTTCTACTCTCTCTATATAGTATTTTATTTTATTTATTTTTTTCATCTGTAATACGTAGAGTTTATTTTAAAGTAAAAATTATGTCATATTTTTTGTCATGAGTAAATAATTGCATTTTTGACACTCATCTTCCTTCCCTCTAGGCATAGTAATATTTGACTTGATTCACAAAAATATTACATTGAATGTTCCCAATAATTTATTCAAATATAATAATGCATTAATATTATAGATGATCTACACATACATTTTTCGATGTTGGTAAATGCTATGGGAAAAATAGAGCGAGTACTTAATTTTGAGGGAGAGACAGGTGCTATTGTACATGGTATTTTTTAAACTTCACATTCCAAGTGTACATTGCTAACTTTTCTATTTTGACCTTATATTCTGCACCTTTGCTAAACTCACTAGTTGTAGAAGATTCTTTTGGAAGTAGATTCTTTTGAATTTTCTACATATATAGAAGTTTTCTTTTCTTTTTCCTTTTTTTGCTTAATTGCACTGGCTAGGCCTCCCAGTACTATGTCGAATAGGAGTGAGAGAGGACATCCTTGTCTTGTTCCCAGTCTTAAAATCGTAAAGAGATAGCATTCGGTATCTCGCCAACTAGGAGTGAGCTCTAGATTTTTTTAGATGGCATTTATTGGGTTAAGGAGTGTTCTTTCTATTCTTAGTTTGTTGAAAGGTGTTATCATGGATGAATGATTAATT